TGCCTAGTAGACGTATGTTGCTATTAGAGGTCACTGATAATTAACCCGCGCCCCAGTGGCGGTCTCAGCCAACTTCGCCCTAGTGGCATATGTTACCACCCACCTCTAACTCAAAAACTAAGAGGGCTAGAAAGACGCAGTAAAAAGCAGTCGATAGCTCTCAATGCGTACGTTTGAAAGTATCTCGGTCATTTTTCATCTTAGAGCAATATTGGGGTCACCAGAGGTCATCAAAGGTCAAAATTTGCCAATTGTCATAATATTTTTCAGAAAACATGCCGTTATCTCAGGAACTATGATAGCTAGAAAAACGCATGGGACAGCAATCGATAGCTTTTGAACTCCTCTTTTGATAAGGTCATTATCAAAATTGACCTCAGGGCAACGGTTTAGCCTCCAGAGGGCAAAAACTCCAAAAATAGCTGTTTTTACGAAAAGTGTTTTTCGACAATAACTTTCGACTACAAAAAGCCATGACATTTCTTTTGCCAGCATCGTGTTTCTCTCGCCGAGACGCGTCGAATGAACTATAATTTGACCTTAAAAGGTCAACTTGAAACTTTGACCTCAGGTCAAGGTCATGACCTGACCGGAAAAGGTCATGTTGCATATCAGTCGATGCGTCTCAACAAGACAAACACAATGAGACAATCCCCAGCGCTCTATCTCTTTCCAATCGCGAGTTATTGGCAAAAAATATGTTTGTAGCCTCAAATGACCTCGGATGACCTTTCTAGAGGCTATCAGCAAAAATGACACCTTGGTCATCACGAGTGGTCCAAATCATTGTGATTCTGAAATATTTGGACTGTTCCTATGCGTACACACGGATCTAGACGCATTTTCATTTTTCTCCATTGACTTGTAATGGAAAGGTCACGCCACTGACCTGACCTTAGGTCACGGATATAAAAAATCCGAGATATACAAATTGTAGGCGCCCATAACAGCACGCAATCCACCAAGTTTCAAACCTTTCTGACAAACATTGCAGGCTGGACATGATTGCAAACTTTTTTTTTAGGCTTGGTCAGTTAACTTGACCTGGTGACCTGACCTGACATGACCTGGGGTCAAAAATTTCACACATTGTCCAAAATTGATGTACCAAAAGCTACCCCAAGCGGAGCGGCGCTACGCGCCGCGGTTTTTTATTTATACGCAAAAAACGCGACAGGGTGGTAACATATGCCCCCCCCCCCCCCCCACTGGGGCGAAGGTTAAGTGATAATACCAGGTCAGGTCAGAGGTCAGGTCACTAAGGGTCAGCATATGAACTCAATTTTACTAGCGTTGTGCGATGCATGTTTATGGCCAATTTTTCATTTCAAACTCAATGGTGTTGGCTATACACCATCAGGTACGGTTCAGGCCATTTCCTGGTGGAGGTCGCACCGGGCAAGGGGGGGGGGGTTTGAACACCCACCCCCTGCGGTTTTTCGCAGATATCTAAAAAAACGCTGTTTATGCCACACCTGTCCGTGCATCTTTTTCGCACATGTTGTGAAAATTTCAGACCCAGGTCGCTCAAGATAAGGCCACCATGTCACGTCAAGTGACCTCACCTCAGAAAAATTAGAATGCTCGTCATAGCTACACCAAGTGAACGATTGTCTTGAAACTTTCAGCGATTGATAAAAGTAATAGTATCTATAAAATGTATATCTCGGAAATTTGATATCTGTGACCTAAGGTCAGGTCAATTTTGCGGCCTCTCCATTATAAGTCAATGGGAGAAAATTGAAAAGCGTCTCTTTTGCACGAATGCCGTTCTAAACAAACCTCAAGCATCGGGATGCAAGTAAAATTGACACCCTGAACCAGAAAATGGCACCTGTGACCCCCCATTATGTCCCCGAGGTCATCTCAGGCCACAAATAGTAGGTATCTAACAGTTTTTTTTTCGCGAATAACTTCTGATAGAGGCATGCTAGAACGATGAAAATGCCTTAGATGTGTTTGGCTCGACGATGCGGATCGACTGATATGCAACATGACCTTTTCCGGTCGGGTCATGACCTTAACCTGAGGTCAAGCAATTCGTGGCTCTTTTGAGTCTGAAAGTATTGCCGAAAAATCAATTCTCTTAAAAACGGCATTTTTGGAATTTTTGAACTCTGGAGGCTAAACCGTTGACCTGAGGTCAAATCTGAAGACATGTTAGCGAAAGAGCGCTAAAAGAGCTATCGAATGCGCTTTTCCGCGGCACTGTAGCTCTATCGATTCCCGAGTTAGCCGTTGGCAGTTTCCAAAATGTTGAAATAGCCAACATTTTACCTTTGGTGACCTCTGGTGACCTGACCTTTGACCTGACCCAAAAAAGACTGAAGTGTTTTCGTCCTTATTTTGGACGTTCTTTTGATTGCCACTTACTGCGTTTCGCTACGTGGCCCAGGAGCCGAGTTAGAAGGGGGGAGGGTGTTAGTCTATAATTGCTTAGAATCGAGTTTGAAAATTTGACGTCATCAATTTTTCTTTTGTCATAGCTTTGCATCAATTTAAAATTTGGTATGTGAATACAGGGTGTCTCAAAAAAAGTGTCAAGGTTATGAACATCTCCCATTTCCTTACTAAATGACCTACATCGTTCAAATTTTCCTGAATTAGTAACAATAGTATGACATTTTGTGTGGCAGAATTTCAAGTTCTTAGGCAAAATGGTTTTAGCACCGGAACAAAAAATAAAAAATCTCAATTTTGGGTGCTATAGGAGATGGTAGGTATACGTCACTGTCTGCCGACGAGTTCGGTAAAACTTCGGCTTTTGCTTGTTGCACCCAGCAACGTGCTCGTCAGTAACTATCTACAACTATAAGAAACCAAAAAACGCCATGCAAAACAGACAATAGAATCGAAATCACCCATTGGTCTCAGGACAGCGCGGTTGCCATGCCTGACTCTTCCGTCAAAAGCTGCAGTCGCTGACACCGTACAAAGGACTTGTGACACACTGCACATTGCGCACACCCAGAAGTTCTGCATGATTGAGTAGGAACTTTAAAACTGTCCATCAGCTATCCTTTCTTCTCTTTATGTGTTTCGGAACAAAACCGAGTAGAGGATTTTGCCATCAAAGATGCCGTCGACTGCAGTCGACGGCATATCCTTTCTTCCATGCTTCGACAGCTGTCGAAGCATGGAAACTCGCGTCATCTGAAAATCAATCGGTGTTGATCGTTGCCCATGTTTGTGGCTGTGTTTCAGCCTGCTGCTGTGCTCCAGATGGCAGTTGTACACGGTGTTCTTACCTATAAAGGTTTCAAAAATGTATTGATGGGCTTGTTTCTGGATTCATCAGGCGAAAGGGGCCCAGACTCTTCAGGATCGACGGCAGGCCGTGACGTACCATCTCCCACAGCACGAAAATTGACCTTTTTTTGTTCTAGTGTAAAAACCATTCTGCCTAGGAACTCGTAATTTTACCACATAAAATGCCAAAACATTGCCACTAAATCTGAAAAAATTTGAATGATGTAGGCCTTATGGTTACGACACGGGAGATGTTCAAAACCGTGACACTTTTTGAGACACCCTGTAGAAGTCGACGATAGCGGCTATTACGTAAGTTTCGTTTTTTTCCGAAAATCGAAAAGCTTTTGGGATTTTTGGCTATTATCTAAAAAATGGGAGTCAACATCCAAAAATTTGAAAATATAGAGATAGTAGTTTAGTAGCCCTGGTAATTTTACACCTTTATGACCCAACATTTTTCTGCAAGTTAAAAAAGCTATAGGCCTAACAGCTCTTCCTGCGAAACTTTTTTTGGGTCGAAAATGGCAGAACATGACGTCACTCTGACGGCATTTGCGACCAACCTATCAAAGCCTTTGGGGAAAAAAATTGGTCACAATGTGTAAAATTGATGCCCAAGAGGGTACTGAAAGTTTAATGACGATCGGCGCAGCGGTTCTGGACATATATCGAAAAGTCTGGGGGGAAATGCCCCCGGCCCCGGCCTAACGTTAATGACCTGAGCGGAAAAGGCGATGTTGCACATCATTTGACCCGTACCGCCGAGTTGAGTAAATCCAGGTTACAAAGCCAACTTTGCAACTTCGCTAAAAAATGCATAAGCATTTTCCACGATAAAAGCTGCAAGCGCATGCTACCAGCCACATCAAAATTGGCCATGAGTGTGTCGAGACCTCAACAACGCCGGCCCCTCCCCCTCCCTCCTCCACACACCAGTGAACGGGTACTGATGCTTGGCCACCAGATTTTTGTTCACTTCAGTCTGTTGCAGTTTATAATCAAATTGCCAACCAATCACCCGGAGTCTCGTCAGGCGTGGGCTGCTTCGCAGATCGGCCTCGAGATAATGTTTACGCCAACGAGGTAAGCGTAGCAGTCCGTGTGTGAAAATGGAGATACCATACAAATAGTCATTGAAAATGATCGTACGTAAATGTTACGAAGATGGGACGCAGGCAGAGTAAGAACCAGAGCAAAACCAGAGGACTGTCACAAGGCAAACATAACCAATGGATGGGAGAAGACACACGTGACATGCAGAAGCATAAGCCAGATGCAAAAGCAGCACAGTATGTAGCATGCAAAGCAAGTGTGCCCGTGTTCCTAGCAAACTTTACAAATTTTCTAATAATAAAAAGCAGTTATTGAAACAAGAAGCAAGAAAAATTATGTTTACCAAGACCAAATGTAATGACGTTTTGGCTGTTTTGGCTGTTTTGAAATACAACTAAAATGTCCAATTTTCAACCTATTCAAGCAAATTAATGAGCCTGTAGCACCAACTACACAAATAACATTTAAGATCCAAAATATATTTCCATTAGACAATTTATCGATCGAATAATAATAATAAAAAAACCGTTGCGCCTCAAATCACGAGAGAACACGAACCAGATTAAGTTTCTCATTGCGAAAGATACTAGTCTAACAAGCAGCAAGTGCAGACGAACAGGACTCGCAGGCCTGCGATCGCACCCGGCCCGCAGATGTGAGCCGGGGGGCGGCTGGGTAACAGGCCGGACAATTACTTTTGGACGAGCCCGGAGTCCGAGATGAGCACCTCTTCAATGGGCCGGTTGTTCCGACCCGACGTCGGGAGGTTCTCGATCTGCTGGACGACCTTCATGCCTTTGGTAACCTGTGGACCAAGTGTGTCCGGTCACCAAGAGTTTTAGCTTTTTTCTGTTGGTGTCTTGGGTCAAATTCCTTGCACGCTGAGCCACTTTAAACAAAAATCCAAACGAAACGCGAACAATAAGCGACGTGCACACGACACGATGCACACCACCGAAACGTCATAAATTGTCGCTTTTAAATTAAGTTACAGCTCAACAAAGCATTTTATCTCAGTGCAGCTAAAATATTATCAAACCACCCCGTCCGTATAGCCAAGCGGGGCGGCGAGGCGATCCCACATAACCTACCTTTCCAAAGACGACGTGCTTGCCGTCGAGCCAGGGCGTCGGCACCGTAGTGATGAAGAATTGACTGCCGTTAGTGTCCGGGCCCGAGTTGGCCATGGACAGGAAGCCGGGCGCCGTGTGCTTCAGCGAAAAGTTCTCGTCGGCGAACGACCTGGTGCCGAAGCTGCTGAAGCCGCCGGTGCCGTCCTTGTTGGTGAAGTCACCGCCTGAGGGACGCACGAGCGGGACCGATACAGAAACGATGGACGGATGGAAAACTGGCGGGCATATTCACCGGAAAATAACTCAATCTAGTTCCAACTAGAAATGACTGACCACAAAGAACTGGTGGTATCGAAAGCTTCAAAAAATAATATTACGAAACCATATGTTGTCTAAATTGAACAGCACGGAGGAAAAGAAGCAGTGGAAAACTATACAACGGTCAACGTCATCTTATGTGCATACATATATCGCCAGTCACCGGTCATTTAATACGTGCGGCTATCCACAGTTCACAGTTACACACCCTATCAGTGTCGCAAACATTGCACTCACCCTGAATCATGAAGTCCTTGATCACGCGATGGAATGGACTGCCCCGGTAGCTCCCCGAAACGCCATTCAGAGTGGCGCCAGTGGTAGCCAGCGTCTTAAAGTTGCCCGCCGTTTTTGGCACTGCATTACCAAACAAGCCGATCTCGATGCGGCCGGCCGGGCGACCGCCGATGGTTATATCAAAATACACAGTATCTGTGATGTCCGGGTTCTGGGCATCGATTTCCTGCAATCACAAAATCAGGTTATCTGCATATGCTGGCAGGAAGCCCACTTATCTTTCTCTACAGTTAACAGATTAGTGGGATCATAGACCTCTGTATACCGAGGGCTGCAGAGGTCTATGGTGGGATTTAAAAAAATGAAAGGTACCTAGATGCAATGCCTAAAACCAGTATATCGCCTTTTGGGGCGACTAACGGAGCGAGCGAGAGGGTGGGCCTTGCACGTGCGAAATTGCGAAGGGGTGCCTCCAACTGACTTGTGCACGGCACCCTACGAACCGGTCTCTAGCGACGTGCCAAATTTGGTCACAATCGGCCCAGCCGTTCTCGAGATCTGGAAGCGGCACCCTGCACGTGCGCACGTGCAAAATGGGTCCCAACCCAACTGACTTGTGCACGGCACCCTTCTAACCGGTCCCTAACTGTGCACCAAATTTGAGCGCAATCGGTCGAGCCGTTCTCGAGATCTGGAAACGACCCCTGCACGTGCGCACGTGCAGCAGCACCCCAACTCTGGCACATGGATATGCAGTGCCTAGTGGGTGCCTACCTACATGCCAACTTTCAGCGCAATCGGCCAAGTAGTTACCGAGATATTGCAACAATTACAAAACGGACACCTCTTCGTTTTGCACGTGGCACGTGCATAAGGGGTCACCCACATGCATCAGGAATAGTCCAATACTTGGTAGAAGGAATGAAGCTACCCTACAAAAATTACCGCGTGTAAAGCGGTCAAGTGGTTGCTGAGATATAAGCCTCGCAAAAGCGTGATCACGGCCGGCCGGCCGCTCATACTCAGAAATTTCCGTTATTCTACGTAAGACTCCGCTCGCTTCGCTCGCTCCGTAATTAAAAGTGCATCTTTCAGATATTTCAACACATGGTTTCATCATGTACCTACTTTCAAAATAAGGGATGGTAAACATCAATACATCAATAACAGAATAATGCAATGCATCTTTGTCATACAGACAATGCAGATAAATGTCAGCTAATGATCTAAGGAGGTAAAACGATAAGTATTAAAGCAAACGGTATGACTTCACAATTTCAAAGCACTTAAAGCATGATTTAGCACTGGATGACTGGTATATAGGCTAGATGACTCACCAAGCAAAAAGCCAAGAACAGCACTAGCAGATAGTAGAGCTTCATGATTTTCAAGTGTGATGCCTGTTGATAAATGATACATATCAAAACATTATACAAGCAGAGGCAAACATTGATGTGGAGGAATGAGAATGATAATTCAAAGCATTAGCAGCCATGAATGCAATCTTGATGCCAACTCTTAAACAGAACATGTAATTTTATATTCTGCTTTACACTAAAGGAAATAAAGGAAAATGAAGATGCATTGTCATCTTGGGCAGTGGGCACAATAAAAGCTTGTAAATAAAAGGGAAATCACAATAGACACACTAACAAAGACATATACCCTATTAGCTGTTAGCTATACATCCTATTAGCTATTATTAGCTATTAGACATACACCCTATTATTTTAACCTACCTGTTTATGTAAATGCAAAACAATCTAATTATTTAGACAGTCAGCTGATGCTGACCTCTCCAAAAATTGAATTGTAAAACAACCTACTAGCAAATGGCATGGTCACAAACTTATATGCTGTAATTATGCGCAAGATGGTCAAATCAAACTAGTGTAAGGCCTAACAGTGACTAGTGAGGAAGATGATCATGAGACCCAAGGCAAATAGGTCTTGGTCTTGTTCCATACTTCTGGGAGTTGTAACTGAGGAGTGGGGAATATAATAACTATGATTAACCCTCGCATGTGTGCGGCGTTTGCCAGCTTCTAATGTGTAGGGGGGGGGGGTCGGTTGGACCCCCCCCTGCCGTTTGGCCCCTGATCGAGCTAGAGCTTAGCGGAAAAAAAACGAGCGTGTTGCCCGTGACGAGAGGAAGCCGATGATACCCAATTTTAAGGTCCTAGGTCATTGGTTGACCTTCCAGGTCAGGTCAATGACCCAAAGTCGGGAAAATGGGGACCAATTAGAAAGTCGTAAAGTGTGGCTGCTAAGGGGTTTTTAGGGGTGCTGATCACGAATATCGTGTTAGTTTTGATCACAGATGATGTCTTTAAGCATTTAGACCAGGTCGGGTCAGGTCAGGTCAGGTCAACCAGTACCTAGGGGTTGTGACGGGTATTCGTAGTAGGTACGTGTCAACCGCCTCTGACAGCTTCGTAACATGCTACGAAGGCACCAAAACTACTTCGTAAATGTTCAAATGGTTGCTAAATTCGAATTCAGCTCCAAAAACTAGCCTAGAAACATGTAAAACTCGAAAAAGTGAACCGAGGTCACCCGAGGTCTCCAAAGGTCAATGACCTGACCTGAACTTCAGGTGACCTTGACACCCACCCTTATGCATGGGAGCAACATCAAATCACATGTTTGAACGTTTGAAACCACGAAAAACTTGCAAACGCGCGGCTAATGCGAGCCGACATACGCGGAATCGCGATTCCGGCCAAACATGGTCTCGGAAAAGAGGTCACAGGTCAAAGGTCTTTCGGGTCAGGGTCATGAAATTTTCAGGGTAGGTGTAAAATTGATCAATGCGAGGGTACTGAAAGTTTCGTCGCGATCGGCCGCTTTTTACGCGAGTTATTCGCGAAAAACCATGGGGGGTCCATCCGACCCCCCGCCCTACACACACATGCGAGGGTTAAAGATGCCTACTAAACAAAGGATACTCATTACTCTCAGATGTGATTGAAGCATATTAGGTAGATTTTGAAAGAACTGGGAAGGTCACCTTAAGGAAATAGGTGAGAACAGGTCCTAGAGGATGTTGTGCCTCTTGTCCTGATAACATGAAGATGAAGAACTTTGAACAAAGCCTGATGTCTTAACCCTCGCCCGTATAGGGGGGGGGGGTCGAACGGACCCCCCCCCCCATGGTTTTTCGCGAATAACTCGCGTAAAAAGCGGCCGATCGCGACGAAACTTTCAGTACCCTCGCGTTAATCAATTTTACACCTACCCTGAAAATGTCATGACCCTAACCCCAATGACCTTTGACCTGTGACCTACTTTTCGAGACCATGTTTGGCCGGAATCGCGATTCGGCGTATGTCGGGTCGCATTAGCCGCGCGTTTGCAGTCTTTTCGTGGTTTCAAACGTTCAAACAGGTGATATGATATTGCCCCCATGCATTAGGGTGGGTGTCAAGGTCACCTGAAGGTCAGGTCAGGTCATTGACCTTTGGTGACCTCGGTTCACTTTTTCGAGTTTTACATGTTTCTAGGCCAGTTTTTGGAGCTGAATTCGAATTTAGCAACCATATGAACATTTACGAAGTAGTTTTGGTGCCTTCGTAACATGTTACGAAGCTGTCAGAGGCGGTTGACACCTACTAGGAATACCCAGCAGGACCCCTACTGGTTGACCTGACCTGACCTGACCCGACCTGGACTAAATGCATGAAGACATCATCTGTGATCAAAACTAACATGATATTCGTGATCAGCGCCACGAAAAACCCCATAGCAGCCACACTTTACGACGTTCTAACAGTTCCCGATTTTCCGACTTTTGGGTCATTGACCTGACCTGCAAGGTCAACCAATGACCTAAGACCTTAAAATTATGTATCATCGGCTTCCTCTCGTCACGGGCAACACGCTCGTTTTTTTCCGCGAAGCTCTAGCTCGATCAGGGGCGAAACGGCAAGGGGGGGGGGATCCAACGGACCCCCCCCCCCCCTTATACGTTCGCGGCTGGAAAAACACCAATACGGGCGAGGGTTAATTGAGAAGATGTATGAGTGTATGACACAGCCCAAGGGAACAGTCATACACTGAAGAGCATTTAGTCTGACAGGCAAGCACAAACTGATGACTGTGTAGTGTGTGGAAGCCCCATGGGATAACAGTAAATAGGGCAACATTGAACTGGCCTACTGTCTTCTGTGTTCTCTGGAAAATGATCCAGGTAGCCAGCTGAGATCTCCTCTGGTATTTTTCTTTCCCATTCATAATTGTAGAAACCCACCTGGCACCTGGGTGATGGGTTCTGTTTTGCTATGTGAGATGATAACTGAACAGGTAAGTTATGACATGCAAGACAGCCACTAACTGTGGCAGCCATATACAGTGTGTCAGCTATATTCTCCATGCAAACACAAGCAAAACTGCCAAGCAAAAAAAAAGTTTGCTTACCATTCCATGGAAATCTAGCCACTAACACAGGTTATATGGTAGCAGTAGGTGGCAGCGCAGCTCACCATGATACCAGAGACAGGGTCATGAAGGTTGAGGTAGCACCACCCAAAGACAGCTTAACAACAGCTTGAACTAGCACTTGACCATACAAAATCGGTTAAAAAAACATTGTTACACACTGCCTCTAAACAGAGCTAAGCTTCATCCACAAGCTAACAATTTGATAGATGATTAGAAGACCAAAATAGACTAGGTACCTGTGATCATCCAGGAAATTACTTGTTTGTCCTATTTTTCATCAGGGTTTCCTTCAACTCAGTTTACAGACTAAATTCAGCCAAAGGAAATATAATAGGTGGGCTACACCACGGGTGATGCACGTTCACGTCACTTAGTCCAGGATGTAGACAGCACTGATGTCACCAGGATCAAAACCAATGACATCAGTGCTGGAACTATGGCGAAGCAAAGTAGTGACACCCCCTGCTACCATGTGAATCCAGAGGGGCGTTCACAGGCACCGCACACTGCTGCGTGCGGTGTGTGCGGTGCGTCCAGCAGGCATGGGGGTAGGGGATGGGTAGGCGGTTCTGACGTCACAGCTGCGTGCAGTGGACGGTCCGCTGTGGCCAGTCCCGACCGGCCACAGCGATCGCTGTGTGCGGTGACAGGATGAGAAGGCTGACGTAGGAACGAAGTGGGCGGAGCTTCGAGGCTGACAGGGCCCGTGAACAGCCCTCAGGTTAAGTTATTAATTTTCATTTTAACTGTCAATTGTATTGAAAAAGTATATAAAGCAGCAAAAACACAAAACTGCAGGGCTTGGGCTACCGGCGCTCACCGCTCACCAGAAGGCATGCGCTCACAGTCAAACACTAGACGTTCAAGTTCACAGAAAGTCTGGCATACCACAGAAATCGATATCTATGCATACGAGTATACACTGTTCCCAATTCCCATATCCAGTGACCGACCTGACACAGACGGTCCTTCCAGCAGCACCTTCCCCGCTCCCCGAGAACCAACAAATGAGCCAAGGCCCCAAATGAGTGAGTCACCGAGTGTGAATTTGGCGGCCGCCGGCCGCCTTCTTTCAAGCCGTTTAGTGCAATTTTGACGCTGTTGCGGCGTCAGCCTGTTCAATGCAAAGTGGGCATAGCATGTTTTTTAGTCCCACCGTAAAAATATGCAAATGATGTCGGCATTCTAAGTTAATCTTTTAACTTAAATTCTCATCTGCTCTACAAATTTTGGTAAGAATAACTTCTGATTGTTCATTGTGCTGGACTGGCCAAGAGTCAGCGTGTTATAGAAAACGATATTTACCTTTTAAATGGAGGATGAAAATTGAAAAAGTATTGGATGATACAGGGTAAAAACTTCCCAGAGACCTTTTCTTGAATATGATCTTGGATTTTTTAAAAATTACCTTTTTTTGCTTTGGCCAATCGTCCTAAAATCGTCCCTTTTCCGATTCATGCCGGGTGCGGTTATTTTTTCTCATCTTAGTTTGCTATTTTGGCGCGATTTTGACAATTTCTGGCGTATTCCACTTATTTACTTTAGCAGCCAAAGGGCAATGGTTTACTAACGGGAGATGTGGATTGCAGCAGCAATACTTGGAAAATAAAGAAGAAGTGAAGCAATTATGTTACCTATTATTTTTTTATAAAGACAGAAGGAACGTGGAAGAAAAATAAATTTTGTCCAGCATGTGAAAACAAAGAAATAGAATGGAAGAAGGGCTGCTACTTTTCATGCGCCCGAAACCAGCCACCTCATCATCATAGCATGGTAATGATAGTTTAAGTTTATGTTAAAAAAGAATAGGAGCTGCTGCAAAAGTCTTTGTGATGCCTCAAAGCCGTTAAGTCAAGTCAGGCATGCTCTTACAGACTGAACGTTCAAGTTACGAGACCCCATCATACCGCTCCAGTGACTAGTGCTTGAGCTTGTCAAATACCTAAATGTTTTGCCCAGAAATTGTTTGCTTTGTTGGTTTCATGAGTTTCACCAGATAAAGATACAAGGCTGGCTGATTTTGTGTTAATTATCCATATTAAAGTGCACTGTTTGTGACAATTGATTATGGAAGTTGTAACCTCGATAATGAAATTTCATGCTGTCAAAGCTATGAGATGTTGCCTTGAGTTTGAAATCAGGCAAACATGGATTGAAGCTGTTTTCTAAAAAAAACAAAAACTGCTTTTTAGTAACTTTCACCTCATAATTTGTATTTATTCAATCTCAGAATGGGAGAGCAAGGCTGAATCACAATTATCTTTTGGGAAATGCTCTACAAAACTGCATTGTTTTTATTTCTGTGGCATGATTTTGTACCTAATTCAAAGCCTTTTTCTGGTGTAGTTTGTAAGATTGTTTGAACTTCTACTTTCTGACCTGTTTGGTGCCAATAAATCCTGCAACCTATTTGGCTTATTTACCCATCTCTCTTGCCATTCCTACATATTTCATGTCAGTCTATTGCATAAATATTGTGTAGTTAACATACTTCATGATATACAAGTGAATGGTACCTATAGAGGCTTGATGTGGGTAAATGAGAACCAATGAACCTATATTTTTTACAATGGCATCAAGTCCTCTTGTCACGGCCATGGATATCACAGAAGATTTTGCTGAACTGCGCAAGAGAATCCTGTGCAAGGAAATGTTTTGCATGATTTAGCTTAACAGCATAAATTTTATTTTCCCAGTTGCATTGGAGCTCTGCTGGAGTTTGCTGATGACAGGATGCTGAAGGGCTGAAGCTGGTAGCTCTGGCAGGAGTCTAGTGTCCACCAGCTCAAGATCCGACGCCGCCGCGTCGCCGCCGTGCGGCACTCCGCGGAGACGGGGACGGCGGTCATGATTGAAGACACCGCATTTCCCGCCTGTACTGTCCGGTCGTAGACTGGTAATCCCTCCGGTGAGCCGCACACCGTGGAGCTACTGCACCGCGCGTGTCCACCCGCAGCGCAGTGCCAGCAACAGTGCCGTGAGTGCGACATCTGCGTGCATATGACGCAGTGCGACTGTCACGACTCGCGGCTCAGTGTTCTGTCAGTGTGACAGTGCGGTTTAGTGTGACAGTGCGGTTTTTTCAAAACGTGCGCTCGCGCTCGTTTTAGCTAGGTGCTCTGTTGTATATAACCACCTTGATGGAGACCTATCTGCCGCTTGAGTTTCAGTGTACAGTTTTATGCATCAAACTAGCGTAAGTAAATGGCTGTCAGAGGTCAATTTGAAGCGCAATTAGTACCCATAACCCAGCTGGGTTGAGCGAGTCATGTGACTAGTCCCGATGAACGTACTGTTTCGATGTCGTCAGTCGTAGACTTTTGTAAACCATTCGTTTCGGAGCTCTGTGTTGTGTTGTTCGGGACCGCAGTTGTTTGAGCAGTTTGCTTTATGCGTCGTACGCTGACAGAACGCTGGTCGTACACAAGTCATGTGTTTCCTTTCGCCCCTAATGGGTTACTGCGGTACCTATGCAGTTGGAATGTGTCTCGAGACACTAACTGGTCGCACTTGGTTGTGAAAATGACACTAGCTGGTCGCACTTGGTTTCAAGCTGCGCTTGGAAATCGTGCAATTCTATTTGCATTTTGCAATGCAATTTTATTGCCGTCCGTATTGGTAGATAGTGTCAGAAGTTGGCCATTTAATGCGTTGTCATTTGTCAGACGCTGTTGTTGTTGTTGTTGTTGTTGTTTTCCCCGGAGTCCACCGGTGGTACATATATTTAATCATCAACGAAAGAAGCACTTGAGATCAGCATCGGGAGATTGAGTGAAACGTGAATCAATAAATGGCGCTGCATAGGGCTAAAGGTGAGGATAGGATTTGTTTAACAGTTAGAATTGATTAGAAGAGTGCAGAAGATTAGTGGTTAGAAGGTTGGGAGGCAGCACCATTTATGATACGATCACAGAAACATAGGACTACAGAGGCCACCATCCATCTCGAACTGGGTTTGTCGCAGTTCTCCACCGCAGTCAAGACTGGAAGGCCCGGGAAGGGCGGCGCACATCAACAAAGCGACGAGAGCGACATCTATAGGCTGGTGTCAGTCAACCGCAGAGCGTGAGGGAGGGTTACACGTGTGCAGAATCAGCACCACCTGTCAGGCCAATTCGCACACAGAGTAGCGCAGCCGCGGGACCGCTCCATCAGCGATAACAGCGCCACCTTAACCGCCACCTGTTGCCTTAGTACTGACAAATTGATGGGCCGCGTTTGTGTTCCTGTTAAGAAACGGATCTCAATATACAGTGATTCAGAGGTAGGAATCTGAATGCATTCGTTCAGACTTTTCATTTTATGGGGATGCACTGTTTCATGAGCAAGAACGAACATGGCTCTGGTTGAGCGAAGCGCAATCGATATTTGTTATCGTGTTTGTAGACTGTGGCCACATGTGTTTGTAGAAATAGTTCACTTTTAACATGGGGTTTGGAACTGGAATAGCAGTTTTGTTGCTTGCGCTGAGACTAGCACAAATCAGAAGCTTTTACGGCCCAACGATCACCCTAGACGAAGATATTCCATTTTCGTTCCGAAAAGAGTGCCTTGCAGAGGAATGCGTGCCTTGCTGAGGAATGCAGTCACGTCATCGTCAGCCAATCAGAATGCTGCTTACAGCCGATGGGTTTGTCCTACGCAATATGATTGGTCAACGCGTAATAAGCTTCCGCGTCAAACATTATTTTTGTAGGGCTATGATTTGTATCGGAATTGTTTATGTATAGCTGTGATTTGTATCGGAATTGTGTCGCGTCAGCGGCCACCGGGTCGGCACAGACGGCGCAGTGCAGACCGGCTGTGAGCCGGCGGCCCGGCGCTAGCGTGTGCTGCGTGTTGTTTTTGTGCGGGTAGGGACGCGTTAGGAGGCCAGCGAGGCCGGAACCGTGCGCCGCCGTCAACCGATTGGTCTAGCCTCGGACCGGCTGACGGGGGCGTATCCGCCTCGAGCTGGTATGTAAGCGCAGCGTGGAAGCAAACGGGGGCTTAGTGTCTGCAACCCGAGGTGGTGGCAACACTGGGCACCCGACCGCTCTTCACGCTGCTGGCATCTGGCTCGAGGTAGGTTCCGACCACGCAGGGATTGTCGCGGGCTCACGGACATCCCCTAGCTAGGTAGGAGCAACCGGGAGGAGGGTTAGGTTAATTCGCGTGGCGTAGGATAGCGTTAGGGTAAAGAGTCATGGTTTACGAATGTTTCACTCGGCAGTCTTTTATCTGGATTTCGGCAATTTGATAAATGTGAATAAATGGGGGGATGAATCGATAGCGTCTTTGGTAATGAGATGAGTCGAAGGAGAACGGAGTTTGAGCGGAGTCAGATTCATTCGGTACCTTAGTTAGTCATCATGGCTCAGGAGCTTAGCTCCAAACCCACGAGGGTTCGCTACCAACCGCGTGTGCCCCAAAATGGCGGAGTTATTCACCTGAACCACGATGCATAGTTTAGTTCAATTAGTGTAGAGGACAGTGGCCCGTGTGGCAGACGGGGTAAAGGCTGGTGACGTCCCGGCCTAACACTGCTCCTGTAGAGTAACGTAGATATCCGGAGGGGAGGTAACGAAGGGCCTACAGGACCGGCCTAAGCCCCCCTCACATAATGGTGCTAATCGGCCGGGAACGTTCTTTCCAGTAAAATTCGGCTGAACAACGTTTTTCTCCCGGTAGGTGTCAGGCACGCCATTAGGTACGTAAGCCTTAAACTGCATTATCTAGTGAAACGCCCTGCCCGTAAAGTCGCCGGAATCGCATGTTAGTACGTGGTTTTGTAAATCTTAAACTGTTTAAACAAACGGCTAACAGTAAGTCTAAAAAACGTTTTTCATTCTTGCTGGTATGAGGATACGCCGCTAACGTAAGACTTAAACTGCATTTGGCGAAACGGCCTGCTGTAAATCCAGTGCGCTTGCTCAGTACGTGATTTTGTAAATCTTAAACTGTGTAAATCAGACGGCTGCAGCTGTTAGACGCCCCCACCGAATTGATCTTGAAAGAACGGTCGATTGAGCCATACGAAATTTATTCAATTTACTCCGCTCAATATCCGAACTTCTAGGAACAAACGAGCCAAGCCAGCAGCCAAAATTGATAGGCAAAAGTTTGCAATGACTGCAATAAAAATAGCAACACAAAGAAAACTTATGCAACTCGTGAGTTGCAAATATGTTGAGTGAAAGTGCAAGTGCAGTCTTTTGTTGAGAATGTTGTTGTGTGTGAGGTGTGAGTGTGTTGAATGACGAGGGCTGTGTGCGGGTCGAAAGTTTGGATGAGAGTGCATCTAATGCATAAAGAGATCAAAATGTACGCATGTGTGGCTTGCGAGTGTCTGAGTGAGAGTAGAGTATGAGTCAGAAGAAGTGAGTGTGAGTGCTGCTAACGGAGAGTGACTGTGAGTGAATTGCGGATATGCTGAAGGAATGAACGATTTATCTGAAACAGCGTCAGAATGAAATAACCAACCCAATTTCCATTATGCTAAGATGCAACTGAAACCATTTGAAAAACGTATTAACCTTATTCAACGTTTGTCTTTATTGCTTCAGAACCTTTTATGTTGTTATGTGCCTATTAAATATAAGATTTAAAGTTTACTAAAGGTTGAACCTCTGCTGTCATTTCCAGCCTAAATATCTGAAGTCGCTGTAGGAGAGGCACATTATTTAACGTAAGAATACGTGATTTAACGTAAGGTATTTGTTACAATGCTTTATAATGATTTAGCAATCTGATGGCAGCAACGGCCATCGACTTCCCCTTCACAAAATCTCTAACCATGTTGCCTACTGTTTTAACAGACAAGCTATAAGTGAAACATATATATTTTATGTAAGTTAGGTGGCCAATGTAATATCGTAAACAATGAACAAATTGTCATCGTGCTCGAGCGTCATGTAAGTTAGGTGGCCGATATAACGTAAAATGACGCTATGCGCAAATTGTCATTGTCATCGAGCGTATCTACTATCTAGAAAATATAATCGAATGAATCTATACTCAATGCGCGTCAAAAGGAAACGATAGGGTGATTAAATGCTGTGTCACCTGCGAAACCGAAACAAAATGTGAACATTACAACTTTATCTGTAAAAATGAACAACCTATTTCAGTTGGATTTTGATTTATCATGTCATGTAAACGCCTAAACATACTGGTGCCGCCGTGGATACCGTACGGTACCCGGAAGCCCGTTCGGTTGCCCTCTGTGCCGCGCAAACCAGGTCAGTGTACCGCTTCGGCTGGAGACGCTCAACAGCAAAAACCCGAACAGGCGAGGCGCAACGCCGTGACCGTCCCGGCGAGTTTTTGTACGGGCTAGCGGGCCGCACCCGGGGTCGTTTTTGTGCGACCAGCTGAATTTACATGACGAGACGGCTTTTGCTTAGGCGTGGGTTTGGTATAATGAAGACTGGTTTGATTTCATTATGGGTATAGATCAGACAATATATGGCATGTACATCTACTGTCACTAATTCGGTTATCGTCAAAAGCAACTGAACCCAAAGAGGAAATATTTTGTACGAGCCTGCGGGATGTTTACGCCGGTTGAAGTTGAGGTTTTAACGCATTCTTATGATCGGTTACTGTACACCACTGGGGGATGTTAGGAAAACAGGGAGGGACCAGTTTAGCGAGCTGGTGTTTTAATTAGTGTGAAAGGAAAGTGTTACTACATGAAGGTGTGAATGCAAGCGAAAATGATTATATCCAGTGGGAGGCGCCCCTCTGTGCAGTTACTAGATGTTTGCAGCGTAAATTGCCGTTCGATTTTATCCAGAGAGGGAAAATTATCCGGATATCCGTGGTAACAATCTTTGTTCACATTAATCCCATTTCACCCCTATCTTTCAGTGTAGCAAACAAATAGCAATCAATGTGTTATTCAGTGACTGGCCTGCCTCACAAAAAGCACAATCAAAACTTTTCTTGCAGCCGCTCGGCTACGGCATCCAGCTGTCGTAGAAAACTGGACGGCTGGCCCAAATAGCCATATAATCATAAAACAATGACTTTGTCGCTAATCTAGAATTATTTCCTATTCTTGCATGTAAATCACCAATTGAACATCTACTTGATTCGGCAAACGCCGTCTGTTCGGTGTACATGGTTGGCAAATTCCTAAACGTTTAAAATTTAAAGGTTTGGGGAACATTCAGCATCGACCCAGTTTATCTTTCGCATCACGAAGAGCCGCGTCATGCCAGTAAACAGAGAACAGCGACTACGAAACACCCGAAACAGACGGGGTAAGACGCGGTGACCTACACACTTTGTACTTCCACTTGCCGCTTTTTGTACGGCAAGCTTGCGGCCTTCAACATTGTTTGTGCGACCATGTGAATGTTTTGTCGGGTCGGCCTTGCCTTTAAAGAACTGCTTCACGGCAGTAAGGATCAGATCCAACGCGACCCGGCCTGACCCTGG